TAACATCAGAGAAGATAAAAAATTTTATCCAAATTTCAACAAAAGTTTCTGCATAATTGAAATATAGACTAGAGAAATGACCATCATGATTTAGTAAGCCTAGTCAATGATGGGTTCCTTCCACTCCTTCATTCCTTCCATTTGTAGATTCCATTCAGATCTAAAAATACTTCCAAGGGATCTTTTTAAGATACGGCAATCGAAATTCAAAAATTGTCAGATTGTGAATTCGTTAAAATCGGGTTTTAAACTAGGATTTTAAAAACATATTGAAGCATATTAAATCATACAACTCTCACAAATGAGAGCAAAAAGAGCTAGGTATCATAAGCAAAAATAAGTAAAATAATTTTTAGAGTATTCTTTCTTTCATCTATTTTAAGCCTATGTTATTTTCTATCTTACAAATGTCTTATAAAGTGCATAATATATTGGTACATAGCATATGCATATAACTCACAAATTAATTTTGTTCATACATAAAAATGTTTATTAATATGGATATAAAATATAGAGACTATTGGTCTAAAATGTCTTGGAAACCAGTTAGGGAGAAATCTATAAACTTTGGTTTAAAAAGCAAATGGTCTAAATCTGCAATATGGAAGACCAAGGTTATATATGAGAAAGGCTTTTCTTTATAGTAGAAGCAAGAAGCCACAAGAGTAATTCTCATCCATTGAAATTATGTAGGTATAGTTCTTCCTTAGAGTAATGAGATCAATTCGTTTTATTCATAGGAATATTATGTAGCTCTACTGTCCTTAAGTGCCATCCAGGAGATAATTCTAAGTATGTATCTACAGTCAAGAATAACATTTTGATAGTGAAGTAACACTGTACACATAGATTTTCTCTTAGAATATTTAAAGTACTTATGCTTTCATCACTAAGTTTTCTTGAATCTGTTTTGGAATGTGATGGGACACATTTAAGTAAACAAACAATCACATACATAAACACTGTATTAATCTTTTTGTCATTTGATCCCTCCCTTCATGTAAAACCACTGCAGAAGGAAAAAATTTTTTATCACAAAATAGCTACATCATTCCATTATTTAGAATGTCTTTCCTTTCTTCTTTCATTTTATCTGAGTTTTCTCTGTAATTTGGGGTTCACTTCCAAAAACTTGTATTCAACAACTATTTGAGTATACTACATGCTTCTATGGCAGATTGATTGCAAAAATGGCCCTGTTTTCTATATCGACATGCTCTTTGCAATGTGGCTTTGTAGTTCCTCTTATTAGAAAGTGAAGTATATTTTCCCATCTCTTGAATATGGACTAACTTTGGCACTTTTTTTTGGCCAATAAAACACGGCAGAGGTGATAATGTGTCAGTTCCAGTCTAGGTCTACTTCCACCATATGTCCTTGAAAACTCACTAACCTACAGAATAAGTCCAGGATGGGTATGAGACTACATGCAAGAGAGCTGAGGTGTTCTAGATGATTACTAATGAATGTCCCAGGCAGGGCACAGTGGCTCATGCCTGTAATCCCAGCACTTTGGGAGGCCGAGCAGGTGGATCACTTGAGGTCAGGAGTTCAAGACCAGCCTGGCCAACATGGAGTAACCCCATCTCTACTAAAAATACAAAAATTAGCCAGGTGTGGTGGTACATGCCTGTAGTCCCAGCTACTTGGGAGGCTGAGGCAGGAGAATCGCTTGAACCCAGGAGGTGGAAGTTGCAGTGAGCCAAGATCGTACCATTGCACTCCGGCCTGGGCAAGAAGAGTGAAATCCCGTCCCACCCCACCCCTCCCCCCAAAAAATGTCCTGAACAGAGTTGCCTAATCTGCATGTGGCTAACAGCAGATGCATGTAGAGGTCCAGCCAAGGGCAGAAGAGCCACCCAACTGAGCCCAGACCAGATTAGCAGCTCATAGAATTTTGAGCTAAATGAATGGTTACAATTTTAAGCAGTTAAGTTTTGGGCTGGTTTGTTAAGCAGTATTATTGTGATAACTGTTAACAATCCTTACTAGGCATACTAAAAAGATGGAAACAATGTGGTCCTTTCTGCCCTTGAAGGACTCATCTTCTGTATAAGGTCTTTTAATCTGGGGCCCACAGATGGACTTTAAAGAGATCTTAAATTATTTTAAATTATATGTGAGATTTAACATGTCTTCTCAAGTGTTTTTCCTCCGGGGAAGTGGAGTTTATAGTTTTTATCAGATTCTTAAATAAGTTGATCTCTCACCAAAAGGTTAATACAGCACAGTCGTGACGATACTGATGTAGTTATAAAAAGTATAATACATCAAATCCAATAATAGAGGTATGTGACAGGTAGTATGGCAATACAGAGAAGAAAACTTTTAAATCTCCTGAGGAATTCTAAGGCTTTCTCAAAGAAATTATTCTTCCCAAGCGTCTCCACAGACACAAAGAACCTTTCAGGCAATGGGATAGCAGGTCCAATAACATGGAAAAGTAAAACTGCCTGGTTTGTTTACGGAAAAGAAATTGTACATGTAGCAAGATACATAGTTAAGGTATGGAAGATAAAACTGAAGAAGGCTGAGGTCAAGATGTAGTCCATGCCAGGGAATTTGTTTTTTAAAACTGTAAGGATCTGCCACTAAAAGTTTTTAAGCAAAGAAAAAACATTGTGAAAAATCGCATTTTAGAATTCCTGGTGGCAGAGAATAGAACAGCTTGCTTGGAGAAATGACTGGTGCAAGCTGGCAACAGTACAGGCAAGAAATGATGGAAGTCTGAATTCAGGGAGTGGCACAGGGTGTAGAGGACAGAGGTGAGGTTTGAAAGTAGAATCATCAGGAGCTATTGACTGATTAGGTATAAAAGTGAGAAAGCAATCTGGGATTAGTATTTCTTGATTGCACAAATGGAGATGGTGATAAAAATCACTGAGGAGAGAATGCCAAAGGAGCATCACGGAGAGAGAAATTTTTTAAATCCCATTTTGAACATGTTCAATTACAGATTGTGCAGCAGGCCTAGAACTCAAACAAATAGTGAAGGATGAAGACTTAGAAGTTACTGACTATAAATTCCGAGGAATTTGAGGAGTCAAGAAAATGCAGCATGTAGGAAAAAATTGAGGGAAATACATATGTTCTAAACATGAAAATACACATGCCTTGGTCAAAGGTACTTAAAGAATTGCCAGCCCAGGGCAAAAATGACTCTTCTGTGACTGGCTCTTGAAAAGATAAAAAAAAAGGCAGAGAGAGGACAAAAACAGAGAGAGAAAATACCAACCTTTCCTCAGCACGTGGAGCAGCAAGTCAAGTCCTGTGAGCTAAAGCTGGGGTTGAGGTCAGTGCTCTACCCTTGAACTGCAAATGCACACAAGTCTCCAGTCCATGCTGTCTATATCCTGCATACACTTCTTGCAGATCAGCTCCACACATTTGTCACTTGAACCAACACTTCCTAAGAGCAGGAAGTTATAACAGCACAGAGAGCAAGAGATATTTCCAAAAGCTTTGGATAAATTAGCATCAAATTCAGATTTTATAAAATTTTTATGTACAAATACTGACTTATCCCAAAACAAAAACAAAGCAAAATAAAAACCTCCAGAAAATGTTTAAGAGGATACCTAATAAATGCAGAGCCCATGACAAAGTACTGTGGGAATGAAAATATGAATAGAGCATAAAATCTGATCTTAAAGGAAAAATCAGCTACCATCCATGGTGACTGTGAGATACGTAATTTGCAAGTTATAGGTATAAAGCCCATGAGAATGGATAAGGCCAACCAGAAGGTGGGGGAAATGCAGTACTCACAAATGGTAGCCTGTGTTTCCCAGAGTTTTGTTTGGCCTGTACAGTGTTTTTTAAAACGATGATATCTGCCAATATTTAAAAATTGGGAGATTTCACCCCAAAAAATCAAATTCAACTTCTCTTGGAAAATTAATTAAAAGAAATTGCAACACTGGGCTCATGTTGCCACTCAGCAATAACTGGAGCTGAAAAGCAGTGGCTACCTTTAGAATGACCACGTGTCCTTCAATTAGCCACCTTTCTCATTGTCTTCACTAATTGTATTTACCTGCCTGCTCCTTGTAGGCATCTGAATTTGTGACCGTCTGTGTAGAATCAGAAAAGAATTCTAAGAAAGGAAAACTGAATCATGTACATCCAGCTATGGCTGTTTATAAGCCAGTGTCTCTTCCCCACTAAAAATTAGCTGTTTAAGATCAGACTTGATGCCATTCATCTTTTCATTCCATTACTCTTCTACGGGCTCTGCACATACGAGGTATCCTCCAAGCATTTTCTGCAAGTTTTTGTTTTGTACTGTTTGGTTTTGGTTTGGGATAAGTCAGCATTTATATATATAAACTTAAACTTATAAAGCCTGAATTTGATGCTAATTTACCCAAAGGCATATTCATTATTCATTTCCCCTATTCACTGTCATTACCCTAAACATCTGCTCTGATCAAATAAGGGTCTTATTGAAGCTTTATGACCTTCTGTGGTCAGTAGCTAGAGTTGCACATCCAAAGTTAAGTAATATAGTTAGTTCTGTGTCATACAAAGGATACAATAAGAATATAATAAAACCTCAAGAAATATGAAAAAAATTATTTTCAGTTTATTGGGCTACTTTTTAATTTTCCATGCCATTCTTCATTTAGAAAGATCAAAGAGAAGGACTTGAGATCACATACTTTTATGACTGCAACACTAAGGGAAGGAGAAAGGGGAAAAGTTTACATTCTTAAAAAGAAGAAAAAAATCAATGTGCTAGTTAGAATTGTATCAGAATCCAACAAAGTTTACAGGCTTGTGGCAATAAGTTCCTACTGCCAATTAGGAATATAAAAGAATTAACTGTATTATCAAGATCAAAGAAATATTAGAGCCACTTATCTGCATACCCTCAATCCCAAGGTTTTGCTCTATTTTAATTTTCTCACCTTTTTCCTGCTAAGTAAAGACAGTGAGATATTAGCTCATATTTTAAAAAAAAGATATAGTAACTATGACATGAAAGTTAGATCAATGTAGCTGTAGGGACCCGGAGCATACAGACCTCGCTGGCTTCACTCTTACCTCGGTGTCTGCTGCACCCTCCGCTTCCTCTCCTAGGCCACGAGACCCAGCGGCTAGAAATTCACCATGTCTATTCTCAAGGTCCATGCCATGGAGATCTTTGACTCTCCTGGGAATCCCACTGTTGAGGTTGATCTCTTCACCTCAAAAAGTCTCTTCAGAGCTGCTGTGCCCAGTGATGCTTCAACTGGTATCTAGGAGGCCCTAGAGCTCCGGGACAATGATAAGACTCGCTACATGGGGAAGGGTATCTCAAAGGCTGTTGAGCACATGGTTAAAACTATTGCGCCTGCCCTGGTTAGCAAGAAACTGAACGTCACAGAACAAGAGAAGATTGACAAACTGCTGATCGAGATGGATGGAACAGAAAATAAATCCAAGTTTGGTGCAAACGCCATTCTGGGGGTGTCCCTCGCCGTCTGCAAAGCCAGTGCCGTTGAGAAGGGGGTTCCCCTGTACCGCCACATCGCTGACTTGGCTGGCAACTCTGAAGTCATCCTGCCAATCCCGGCTTTCAATGTCATCAATGGCGGTTCTCATGCCGGCAACAAGCTGGCCATGCAGGAGTTCATGATCCTCCCAGTTGGTGCAGCAAACTTCAGGGAAGCCATGCGCATTGGAGCCGAGGTTTACCACAACCTGAAGAATGTCATCAGGAAGAAATACGGGAAAGATGCCACCAATGTGGGGGATGAGCACGAAGTATCTGAAAGATGTCACTTTACAGAAACAGTGTGTACCATTCTGACATTACAATGGTGGAGTTGGCAGGTGTGCCCAGGCCAAGCAGTGGGGCTGGACACAAGGTCCGTGGCCCAAAAAGAGTGCTGAATTTTTGCTGCACATGCTTAAAAATGCAGAGAGTAATGCTGAACTTAAGGGTTTAGATGTAGATTCTCTGGTCATTGAGCACATCCAAGTGAACAAAGCACCTAAGATGCGCTGACGGACCTACAGAGCTCATGGTCGGATTAACCCATACAAGAGCTCTCCCTGCCACATTGAGATGATTCTTACTGAAAAGGAACAGACTGTTCCTAAACCAGAAGAGGAGGTTGCCCAGAAGAAAAAGATATCCCAGAAGAAACTGAAGAAACAAAAATTTATGGCACAGAAGTAAATTCAGCATTAAAATAAATGTAATTAGAAGAAAAAAAAAAAGAAAGTTAGATCAATGATAAAGATTTACAGTCTAAGGTTTACTCTCATTTTCAATAGTTCCCCCAAACTAAAGGTGATAAAAATACATTTTATGTAATCACATTAGCTCATTAATCACCTAAAGGCCTGGCTGTTGACCCTTCACCTCTCCCAATGGGACTGAGGAAGTCAATCAACTGATAAAATAAAGTCTCCATCAGACTTTAAAAAGAAAAAACCCTTTTTAATGATTATGAAAAATATATATGTGAGATTCAGGTTAACTTCCCAAAATTTACATCGAGAAAAGAATCAAGAACATTCACTATACCAAAAAAAAAAAAAAGGGATTTTTGCAATCTCTTTTTAAAAGTGAAAGAGAGAGGGAGAATAGATTTTAATGAGCTTCCCTGTTCACCTTGATTAAATCAGAACTTTAGAGAAAGTAACCTAGCAGAACTTCAGAAATGTGAAGTTCAAGTTCAACTAATGAAAGAACAAAGACTTTAATTTTAGCTGAATGATCTTCCCATGTCTGTGTCAGTTTCACACTCTATTAGATCCTCTGGAACAAAAGGCCCAGACCCTCCTACTGGGAATCTTTCTCTGGAGCCCTAGGCACTATTGTTGATTTTATCTTAAAGGGCTTGGGAACACATTTTATAAACATGAAAACAGAGAGCAAGTAAGTGTGAGAAACATCCAGTGAAAGAAGGTCAATGCTGTCAAAGCCCCACTGAATTTCTTTTAAAATGATGTAGGTAGATGCATTTCTGGTTGGTGTGTTTAGTCAGACAGAGGTTTGAAAATGATATTCATTTGTCCCTTTTCTTACATGTGAAAACAATCACAATTTCTCAGGGAAGAATCTCCTGCTGGGTTACCAACTGCTGGGCTCATCCTCTCATACAACCAAATACCTTATTTTCAGTCTGAGACTTGGGGATGCTTTCTTTGGACAAATCAACATTGGCGTCATATATGGAAATTCTCCTTCCTAAGGTTACCCATTGCAAGTGAAACCATGGAATTCCATGACACCTGTAAACCATTTCTCCTCTTCTGACTGGATTTGGCACAGCTAAGCATGGAATCAGAACCAGAAAGCCAGAGACCTACCTGCCAAATGAATGCTATTTCAGGATGTCTTCAATGTTGTTGTTTTCCTTTTAAATAAAAATGAAATGAAATCACATAATAACACCACAATAAATTCTGCACATGCTAAAATATAAAAGAGAGGACATTATTTTTTGACCTTTCAATATATGTGAAACACATTTTGTACTGGAATAAACAACTTGAAAATGTATTATATGCACAAATGGCATGTGAATGGAACAGTTGCTTATGAGACTGGGAAAGAAGAGAAACTCTATTCATTGACAGAGGGCTGCCAAAATTAGATATTAAAAACCCCAAACCTTTCTCAGTTTAAGGAATAAAATTGGTCTCTTAGAGATCCTACTCCTAAATCAAAAGATGAAAATTACCAAGCTTTAGTACACAACCACATGAATAATTCAGCCTATGAAAGCCACTATTATCCAGCATGGAATCGCTAATATGCAATAGGAAGTTTTCTCAGAATCTCAGAGGAGTTCCAGGATTGAATTTCTCATGACAAATAGTGGTTCTGACAAATGAAAATTCTACCATGAAATATAAAGTCGACATTAAACTAACAATCTATTTAGTCAGCAATCATTCAGTAACTATGAACCAGCTGGAAAAGACACACCCAATACAAATCTATATCTGTTCTGTCATCTATTCAGGACATATTTATTGAGGACCTACCACATGCTCAGCACCATGCTGGGAGCTGGGGTGTCAGCAAGATAGACATAGTTTTTTTCCCATGGATAGAAATAAAGAGTCCCACTTTCTACTACTGGGCATGCCAAACTATAAGTGATAGCAACCACTCAGATTGAAAAGGTGCTGTTATTGGTGGCAGAATGATAAAACTCTTAGATACAATTCTCTCAAGGCCAAAAAATTGATGGGGTTACATATAGTTAGATATAGATATTTAAATCTATAGTTAAAAAATTTACATAAAGTCTATGTGAATTGTTTTTGTTTTGTTTTGCTCTTGTTGTTATTATTCTGTTTTCTCTCCTTGTAGATCAACTTATGGGTGGATTGAAGTAGGATTAATGTTACCAGCACAGAATACTGACTCTCATTTAGAGCCTTTGGCAGTGAACTGATCCAGAGAGAGATCACCAGCATCAACATCATCATCATTATCATCAAGAGGCTTGCAAGGCCTACTTTATCAATCTTATTTATTATATCCATGGAACATGTGTTATCACCAAAATGACACCAGGGACTTACAGAACATGTCTCAATTCATATCTCCGTTTACTGAATAGCAAATGGATTAAGTATTTTAGAAATTGCAAATAGGCTAGCAAATGCAGATGGGCTGGGATTATAAGAAAATGTAATAAACTTCTAATAAAACATTTGAGCAAACTCACACATCTGTGGACAGATGGGAGGCATTATGTAATCAAGTCATTGCTACAGCAAGCTCTAACCGCACCCCCCTCCTCTTCAACCCCGCCAACCCATCCCTACCCCCGGCCCCGCCCCACTGCTGCTGTTGGGCCAAGGTTGAGGGTAAAGGGCCTCTGTGAGTTTTCCTTCTCTGTCAGCATCCAGAGAAAGTATTTTTAATCTTTCTAAGATGAACTATTAAAATAGACAGCCTTTGACCCACACCCACAAAAACACACACAAAAAAACTCAAATCCTTGACCCAGGAAGCAAGGTTTCACTGCTTGTATTTGTTTGTTTTTGAAAACATAATATTTCCATGAATACACTTAGCTACTTGCCAGAAGTTTTTGTCTCTGACAATTCCACTAGATGGTAATGTTTGAGGTAGGCTCCTTAATGTAGCTTTGGGGAGTAATTTCCGAAGTGATCAATCAGCTGTAGAAACCACAAAACGGAATGAGAGATAGATTGGGAGTTTTTTAAAGGCTATATTCACCAGACTAAGTGAATAATATGAAATTAACACTTAGAAGTTCTCCTTTTGAAGATAATGTGAATGTGTGTGGGTGTGTATAAAGGTTACTGAATTCCAGAGTAACATTAGAATTTTCTCTTTACAACAATTGACTAACCTTCAACTTGATATTCTGGAATGACTTTCCTCCCTTGATCAAAAGTATATCTCCTGGGGTATCAAACACTTGAGGTGCAAAAATCTGGGGTGAGGCACAGGGGAAAAGAGGAAAAGGAGAAAACACTTCTACAGCATCTGAGAGAGAAGTTGTCACAGAAAACTGAAGCAAGTATATTTTAGAGATGAAACATTGACACAAGCTCTGGAGTCAGCTAAACCAGGATTCAGCCTTATCACTTTTTTGGCCATGTGACCTTATAGTACGTTTTTCTAATTGGTAAAATGGAGACAAAAATACTGTTGCAGTAGGTAGCTAGTCAGGCATGAGCAGGACAGGAGTAGGCTCCCCCATTCTCCAAACACATAACAGAAGTGTCAGGCTACCATCAGGTGATGGTCAGGTGGTTGTCAGCTGTCTCTCTAAAATAGTAATTGGTCACAGCTGGCACCAGAGAAGGCTGTCTCCTAATAGATAGAAAACACCTGAAACTGGTGATCAGCAGCTTCCCAATAAGATCTTAGGAGTTGGGCGAGTGGGCTCAAGCATGTGCACTAAGAGGCAAAATGGTAGGGTTTAACTACCATTTTGGTAAGAGGCAAAATGGTAGGATATATTACTTTCCTCTGGGAATGCTAGACTGGTAAGGGAAGAATGCCTGAAGTGAGCATGCATGCAATTCCAGTAAACACACTGCATATGCAGCCCCTCCCAAGTGCTGACCAGCCACTGTGCATAGCCCACCCCAAGGGAAGAATCAAAGAAGTAAAGCAAGACCCCAGAAGCATGCCAACATACAAAACCCCAAGTCATGCATTTGATCTCTCAAGTCACTCGCTTGGCCCTCTTCCAAGTGTACTTTACTTTCTTTCATTCCTGTTCTAAAGCTTTCTAATAAACTTCCACTCCTACTCTAAAACTTGCCTGTCTTCTTCTGCCTTATACCTCCTCCATCAAATTCTTTCTTCTGAGGAGGCAAGAATTGAGGTTGCTGCAGACCCCCCATGTATATGGATTTGTCCCAATGACAATAGTACCTAAAATAGAGATAAAACTAGCGTTTAAAGTTACTGTAAGGTTTAAATGAAGTATGTATATAAGGCACTTAGAACAATGCCCAGCACATAGTAAGTACTCAATAAATGTTAGTAACAAATATTGTATTTCAGACCAAAGTGCTAAAAAAAAATCAACTAAAAAACATATTGTTCAACTATTGGGATCCTGAGTTTTAGCAGTAATGACAGCAGAAATCAAAGACCTCAAACTATTTAGTAAATGTATAATAAGTTCTTCAAATTTTCCATTAGAAGCTAGATCATTATCATACACTTACGATTAACTCTCTGAGATTCTTCTGGTCCATCAATGCCAACAAATTGTTAAAATGAAGATCATCACTCAAGAAAAAAAGTGTGTGACTGTCTTCCAGCATGGGAGCCTAAGAACAAGAGATGTAAAGTAGAACTTGACTATCAAATTCTTAGGTTTGAGAAACGATATTTCCAAGATCACAAGTGAAAGGATTTCATAGATGGAAATTGG